TGCTCCCCGGGCCGATAATTCAGGGGAATGTTCCTCTCTATGGTGGGCAGTCACTCAGAAAGCAGGCAATAATTCATCATTAGGATATCAGAGTCCAGGTGCAGATGAGAACTGATAGAACCGGCAGCCAGGCAAGTCGGGGCAGTCAAGGAGGAAAATCTTATTCCAAGAACAATTCACAGGTCATCCCACTGGTAATTGAAATAATTTCGCCCCCAGAGTTGTTTAATCACCGACAATTACGTGTGCACGGATAGACACAATTGAGAAAATCTCAAGTCTGATTAAATGTTCAGCCCTTCTGCCACAGTTTACATTAGCCCCTCAGATTTTTGCAGCCCCACTTTCCTCTTTCATCTCCAAATTTTGTTGAGCTGAAGCACTGAAAGCTAATGGACAAATCACATCAAGTTTTCCTCGCCTCTTTTGTCCTTTTCTTATGGACAGCCTCCAAACACTAGCTGCTCACTTTGATTACATTTCAAGTGGTACACCAGCCTGGTTGGATCATCGAAAGGACAAAGCACTGTCCCATTAAAAAAGCCTATGTTGAGATGCAACAAATCATTTGTCTGTTATTAACCCTGAGCCTGTGATTATGCAGATTGCCATAGATTTTTCCTGGTTGCCTGGAAGTGAGATCCAGGGGTTGTTCTCTGTGTGGCAGGCGGACGAGTGAACAGCCGCGCATTACTGAACTTGCCACATTTATCATGTTGACTGATGGCACAGAGAGTCGGTTCCCGGGTCCCGGTGGTTAATGTACTGGGTAATTAACTGTCATTTGCTTAGTAATAGGCCGATGATCAATGGTTTGAGAGGAAACAAATTCTAATCCAGCAGCTGATGAATGCATGCAGAGGCTGGAGCAATTGAAGTGGTGGGAGGGATGGAAAGGTGGGGGCTGGCGAGGGGAGAAAGAGGAGTGGATGGAATTCCAACTGGAGGGACTGCTATCAATTCACCTTCCCCTCTGCAAAATGGATGAATGCCACAATTCCCAGTCAGGTGAATGATGGAGGAGCTGATTGATCATATTGGTCACAGTTTGTTCAGGCAGATTTAAACAATAGCTGTATTGTTAAAGGGCTGGTTCATCCAAATACCACAAAACATATTTTCTCTTCTGTCTGGTTTGGGTTTTGTCAAATCTGCAAAATGTCCTCTCTCGAAACACTAAGTATGCTTTAATCACTATTTTGGCTTGCATGTAAAAAAAGGAAATTAACTCTTGGCTGAGTATGAAAAGTTGGTGTTTATCACGCGCTTACAGCGCCAATATGTTATTATATTTGATTTGCCTGGAATTGTGGTGTTGCATCGTCAGTAATGGGTATCATATTTCTGATATTAATAATAATCATAATTTTATTATCGTGACAACCCTACCTAGAGCTTAATTGCGTAGCATAGAGTTGAAAAAACTGTTGGAAATACACCTTACTCTCAGACATGCTTGCCTTCGTACAATATCAGTGGTGCGATGTATATTCTCCATCATTATGCATTTTACTTCCTACAGCCAGTAATTGGCATTGTATTTTGGATTTAGCTTGACAAAGCCCAGGAAAAGCATGGGCGCAGGCTTGAACATTCAGATCGGGATTTTGGGTCCAGTGGGCTAAAACCTTGTGGAATAATTTAATTGGTGTCTGTTTTCCTCTCATCAAATAGGTACCATTGAGCCGTACCAGGCTTTAATGCACAGTGAATGCCTTTTGACTGAAATAAGGTATCGGCGCTTTGACTGCCTCAATTCTCTTTAAAATTCGGATTCAAGCAAAGCATGAATTTTTTTTTTTAAGCAGAACCACAGTTAGAAGCCCTCCAGATATGCCAGACAGCTCTAATGTTGTATGCCTGACAGAGATGCATTGAAAATATATATATATTTATTACCAACTATAATATTATAATCCAGTGCTGAGTCCCAGGCTCTAAAGCGTCATTCTGATTGTGTGAGCCTACACTTTTGAATTCACTGCAACCAAACCGCGCTTAATTTGCACCCTCCCTGGAGAGCTATTAGCGTCTTCAGCATCAAACTGGCAGAGCGGGAAAAAAAGACGAGTGGCAGGTACGCTCCATCCATCTTCCCTCCCCGCAAGGTAAGCCACGGATGCCGGTTTAAGGAGTGTTTGCAACACAAGACCCAGCTAGCCGGCTGGCTACATGCTGGCCCTGCCACAGACATCAGCCATTTCCCCATCTTTGGCACAGCGTGTCGGAGACACAAAAAAAGATTTGAAGATTTGAGTGTATCATAATAAATGTGTTGTTCCCATAAGGTGGTGTTATGTCATTTATATAGCGCTGAAAGTAGCATAGAAAGGTATGGGATGAATTATGCAACAAAACACAGCCACTATTTGGATGTTCTTTTTTTTCATGTTTTATTCATGTTATCTTATGGAATGGGTCGTTTAGATCAGTGGTTCTCAACCTTTTTTTAGTGATGTAACCTCTAATACCGGGGTCTGCCAACGGTTTTCAGGCCAAGGACCCCCAAACTGATGGCGAGATGGAGCAGGGATCCCCTATTGTACAGAGTTTGGTCCGCCAGCTTTTGTTTTTGAGCTTTGCGCTCTTTAGACGTGAGCATAAACGCGATCGGATTGGCTAGTGCCTGTGCTGTCGTATATGCATGAAAGGTGCTGTGAATGAACCGCTGCCCAGCTTGGGAGAGCTCCTGTGGGTAGCTGAAGGTGTGCATTGCGGACTGAAAGACAACGTATTCTCCATCAATTTATCCGTTCGCTACAATATGTTGGATTCATGTCAATGTGTATTTAAAGACAATGAATACAATTCTGATTCTGAAGAAATTTAAATTTGTGGAAAAAAATTGGTTGATAAAAAAGGAAAAGAAATTGTCTTATCGACCCCCCCTGCAGTACCTCCGCGGACTCCCTGTTGAAGACCTCTGCTCTAATAAATTTCTTTGGTACCCCCTAAGAAAAAATAACTTTTTAAAAGGATTTTTGAATGGATGCTAATTTTCTCACGTACCCCCTGGAGTGCCTACACGTACTCCCTTTTGAGAATGACGGTCTTGGATGGATTCCATTTCCTTAATAAGATAAATTGAATAGCTACTTCATCCGTCCATCCTTGTGAATGGGTGTGACTTTGAGATTAGTTAGTCCTGATGGGAATGTGGCACCTTGCGTGGTAGCCCCTGCCATCACTGAGAATGGTTGTTAATGATGACATGTAGTGTTAAAGCACTTTGAGTGGTCGGAACATTTTGAAATGTGCTATACAAGTGCAGTCTATTCATCATATGTCTATCTGTTCATCCATCTGTCTATCTCTGTGTCCGTCCATCCATCTATCTACCTTAGTTACACACAAGCCCTGTGTTCATAGATTAAAGGATCTTCACCCAGAGTTTTTGGGAACAAAGCAGTGTGACAATGGTACAGTAGCAAGGACAGACACTGTATTTTTTTTTTTATTCAAGCTGGCATGAAAAAGCTTAAAACATCACCTTTTCACTTGAATACCTTCCATCATTTATAGTACAGAGCCTTGAGTGCATGCTATCTGACAAGAAACCTCTCCTTTACATAGGAAGAGGCCATAAAAAGTGCTGCTGTTTTGCTCAACTACTCACACTCATTATCTCACACTGAAACTAAGTTCTTTCTCTTTAAAAAAACTTTTTTTTTTATAAATTAGTTGGTTTTGTAAAGACACAATCCAATGTTCGAACCAGAGTTTTTCATTGATTATTTGTGCAGAAAACAGAAGAAATGTATCTGAAAGAAAAAGGCATCATTGTTTTAATTAAGTCCGCACTAATCTGTCGATTTGCCCTGCTTTGTTTTCTACCACCTACCATGTTACAAGAGATATCCTTCATTGTCTCAAGGTGTGTTGACAGTGGCTCTTAATTCTGTAGATATTCATGAGGTCACAATCTATCTGCTTCCTTTGCCGCAGGGACACATACTTTCTGAAGGTTAATAAACAACCCTGCATATCCTGAGCCCTGAGATCATTTATCAGATTGTGATCTCTTACAGACTCTGAGAGTGGCATGGCGTTTTATCATTTTAACAACGGCGGCTAAAAGTGCCTGAAGACGTCTGCCTAATAGGTTATTTTGTTATATGATTTTGTTATCAGATTTATTTTCCTTGGTAGTCTGGTCTAGGTCGCTCGGTAGTAACAACCCTGAATCCCTAATGAATACTCACATTAATGTCCCTGGAGCAGGAAGAGAAATAATAGGGTCCTCCATGGGCAGTAGTGCTAGCCATGGCCCATCTATTTCTACAGCACAAGCTGTTGTCTTGCTATTTAGTGCGCTACTGTTGCCTATTTTTGTGCCTGATTCAGAGACTCAATCTGCCTCAGCAGCTCATGTTAGTGTGTTTATCGACAGCTGTCACTCTGGTCCTCAGAGGGAAGCAGCACAAGCAATAGTTCTTTTGTAATTCTAATGGGATGCATGTGGGGGACTTGTTTAGTCAATTTCAACAATGGTGTTAAAGTGTTGTGTTCCTAAAACATTTAGGAAAGCTGAAATATTTTTTTGTTCAGTACCTCTGCCAAGAGTTCCCTTGCCCCATTTTCCTGAAATTTGGTAAAAGGGCTTGTCATATAGCAGAACCCATACTTTTTCTTTTTTTTTTTACATACTCATTGCTTTTCACTTTCTTTGTGAGATCATATAGTGATCATAAAGCCTTGGTGGAGGTCTGCTCTCTCCAGGTGCCCTAATTTTTATTGGTTTGTAACAAGTAATACTAGAAGGCCACACAAACATAATAAGTGTATTCAATGTATACATTTGGATTGGCTTCCAAATGTAACTATTTTTTCCTTGACCAATGCTGCAGCCTTCAACCAGTTTACATGGGAATAGGGCCAGTGGTTTTTCAGTACCACAATATGGAAATAGAAATGAATGAAGACACCTCTCAGGCTTTCCGCTCTGTACTGAGGTTTTGGGTGGATGACTAACATCCTGTGTCTTTTTTATGGTATCTCAGGTTGTTTGGCGTCACAGGGAACTGTGCAGCCTGCAGCAAGCTAATTCCAGCCTTCGAGATGGTCATGAGGGCCAAAGAGAACGTCTACCACCTGGACTGCTTCGCGTGCCAGCTCTGCAATCAGAGGTGAGTTATTGGACTGCAGTACCTTCGTTGAAGCAGATGACTGGTCAGGCTCGCTTTTCGGCGAGATTTGCCGTTTTAAAAGTAGGTCATCCACATGAATTGTGTAGATCCAAATAGTTTTTTTTGGGGGGGGGGGGTCAACTGGCCGCCCAGCATTGGGCTTTGCAAAAAAACATCCCTGATGTGACGTGGTAGACCTTGCCAAACAGCGCTGTTCTTTACGGCGTTTTGATTTCCCTTTCTTTTCATCCTTTCACTCCAACTTTTCTTTTCTGTACCGTCCTGCTCTTTTCTGTACTGTCCTCAGCTTGTCACGCTCACAGGAGCCTCCCCGCTCGAGCAGCATGCCCCTCCCAGTTGATGCCCCGCCCCCTACGCCACATCAAGTCTGAATGTGAAAAAAAAGATCTGAAAGTATATGTTTTAAATCTGAAAATATAAGATTTGTATCTGAAAATATGAAAGCTGCAACCGAAAAATATAATGCAGTGAATATCAAAAAATAAATGAAGTGAAGATTGAAAAAAAATATTTGATTCTAAAAAAAATATAGAGCTGACCCAAAACTATATTCAACCCGAAAATATTTTTTGTGCACTTATTTTTATTTTGAATACATTGTTGTATTTTTCAATGTTCAACAACAAAACTTGGACTTGGATTTGGCTCCAAAGGAAAGGCCTTAAAAGTGTGATTGAAGTGAATAATAATCTTTCAGAAAAAACAATAGCTTTTGCTGAACTTTCAGGCTGCTCCGGCACTAATATTAATGATAATAATTGCTAGAAATACAATAGGTTCCTCTACGACAAGTCTTACAGAGGCCCCTAATTAGTACGTCAGAGCATTAAAATATCTTGTCTCTGCGATGTGAACTCATGAATTGCATACAAACCGATCTTTTAAAGTCATATTCCTGCACAGAAAATATAGAGAAACAAAATGGAAAACAAAAAGTTGGAGCTGAGTAACATCTGCAATTAAAGCTGGTGCCATGCCATAAATCTTTGCCTGGCCCTGGAGAAATTGTGATGGGCATCTGAATGGTGCTTGCGAGGCCATAGCTAATTTTATTCAATAGTTCATCAACTGGCCTAATGTAAAGAGAAAGATTTGTTCAAGCTTTAATGCGTTTTAATGTGAGAGAGCAGAGTTGCTCTACCTGGACCTGGCTGATGAAGATTAGCTGACTTCTTCCATTAGGAGAGGTGGTCTGGTGCAGTCGGCTGAAGTGGCAAGACAATAACTGAGTGCTAATTGTGCGTAACAGGGTCCTTTGCCTTCAGCATGCGCAATGCGTCTGAGTCGTGTTTGTGTGTGTGGGGTTGCAAATTTGGGAACAGAGGTAAGAAGAACATAGAATGCCAACTAACAAGTAACCTTCCTGACGTTCCCCTGAGGTTTTCTATTTGTGTTGTTAACCTTCAAAACACCTTTGATAACATTCTGTTTTGTGCATTTGCTTGAAGGTTTTTGGACGGGGTTCCCTCAAAGAAACGTGACATGATGGATATTTGAGGCTTTGGACAATGTTCCTCCAAGGCTACATGAACTGTGTAAAACTAGGAGCACTGGATGACAACAGCCTGGCCAGCTGTATTGACACACAGAAAGAATTGTCCAGATTACAGATTAATATTTCTATTCTTTGAAAATTAAAAATCCACTGCTATTTAATTATATTAGAGAGAAGGCATCTCTGCCACGGGTTGCTCAAACACTCAGCATTTCAGACCAAACTATCAAGAATGATGACAGGTGAGAGGAAAAATGTATCTGTTTGAACTGTCTGTGCAACATCACTTAATAAGTCAGGTCTAAGCAAGTTTCTCAACATTTCTATCCAGATGAATAGAATGACCTTTTGCAAATATTCCCAGCCTTAGCCTGAGATCTATCAGGAGATCTCACTTAAGATTTCCTGAATAGTTTCTCAGCGTCTTGCTGCCTGGAAATGAGCTTCTGGTCTTTGTCTGGCATACCTATCTGCTGCCTTGTTCATCTGAGCCCGTTCTGTCCCCTCTCGTTTCCCAGCCTCAAACAAAGATGAAAGCCCCCCTCCCCCTATTAACCCACCTTCCCCCGACGGGCCCTTCAATAAAGCAATCTAATCCATCTCACAAATGGCCCAGAGATTTCTCTGTGGAACATCATCAGAAAATGTGTAATCTGATAAACAGAGCAGGCCATCACAAGGTCAGCAGGGGTCCCGCCGTGTAATTATCCGTTGCTCCGGCGGGTCAGTCTGTGTTGCTGTTTGAAGGTTGGATCGCTACAATTAACTTTGAACACTCCCTGCCCCCGCACAAAAACCTACTCACATATGCATCAATCTATGCCATCTGTTCCTTTACATCCACATCCACCCTACTCTATCCACAGTAATTATTCTGATTTCATCATAAGCTCTCTGCAAGACTCTAATGGTCATTACTAAGCTATTAAGAACCTTGCTTAAGTTATAGGCCAGTTTGTGCCAGACAAAAAGACTGCCCCGAAGGTTGAGCGTGGACATGTCAGGGCAGTCATGACTCACAACCACTTCCCTCTTTTTTGTCATCATCACCATCAAACTGGCAACAATCTCTTACTTGCCTCAAAAGAAGCATTGCGAGCTGAGCCTACTTCAAGTATAAGATAAATGGAACAGTCTCACCAGTTATCTTACTTGTTTATCTGCCAGAGAGCAAAAGTCCATCTGCAACCCTCCTTGGTCCTTTGAAATTGGTATCAAGCTGGGGGAGTGAATAGCTCCTGTCCCTGTTCTATCACTGAACATATAGGATCCCACATTGGCTCTGAATGCTCATGTCTGAACCCAATGTGGCTATACTCTGTTAAACTAGACCGTTGTGACCTTCCCAGCTGCAAGACCTGTTATTTTTCCTCCATGATAGAGGAAGGGAAGCAACAACGTGGTCTCGGAGCCAAAGGGACAGGAGGGCTAGCTCTGAAAGAAGTGGCTGTTGGCATGGCTAGGGGTGTTGGGAATAAGGACAGAGATATGAGACTCAATCCAGCAAGCAGTTAGCCACAGATCAGCCCTGGGGGACAGCTAATCGATGGGGCTGTCGTCCAGCCTCATCATCTAGCCAGTGCTGGCCCAATTTCCCCCTGATGAGCTAGAGGCCACAGTAGGGAGGCTGAAGGAAGGTTAGAGTAGGGGGAGCAGAGGAGAGCAGGATGGGTGACAGTGTAGTGGAAGGTCACTGCTGATAAGGGAGGATGCTCCATACTGAAGCCTTGGAAGGAGAGACTGACACCAATTGGGTTCAGCACAGCTAAGCTCAGCCACTGATGCCTTGTATGTCACGAGTTAGGCTTGTTAGACAAGGCCTAATAGCCAATAAGGGACACAGTTGTCAGTTTGTGTATGATTGGTGTTGAGAACTCGGAGGCTGTGCAGCCAGCCTACTAGAGAACACAATTTCACTGTAATCCTGCCCAATTTCAAGTAGAAATGACATTTTTTACAAATAAATGTCAATGTCTCTTCACTCATGGAGATGAGAGAACAGTGTTTCAAGCAATAACAGCTAAAGATATTTTTAGCCTTATAAAGACCTCAGCTGTGTTACCGTCAGAGATCATATCCTCATGGTGTCGTCACAATGAGTTGACTATAGTCATTTCCACGTTTTAAGGGCGGCCTGTTCCAAAGAATGCAAAGGGGAAATATATTTGGAAGGGCATTTGGGATAGATGCAAATATGAGGCGGTGTTGATCAGAAAGTTGCAAAAATGTACTTATAGTTTACTGCAGTGGTAAAGGGTCAGCACTATGTCCTGTTGACTATTTGTCCATAGAACAACATGTAGGGACTACATTTTTGTATGATTATTGAATCAAATATTCAAATGAATCCAGAGATTTTTTTTAATATTATTTGTGGAGAATTGGTTATGTTAATATTAGGGCTGTCAAAATGAACCCGTTAATCTATGCGATTAATCTGGCCGAGATTAATGCAATAAAATATTTTAACGCAGTTAACGTGACTTTGCCCAATAAAGTTGACCCCGGAGTCAAAACCGCCGCTAATTGCAGTCAGACAGGATGGAGAGAGCTTTTTGCATTGGAAGTAAAACAGTAGCAACAGTAATACAGCTGAGAACTGTGCAGAGGAACTCCTACACATGTCAAACAAATGGGGATGAGTTGCAAACTGACCACTTTAAAGACTCTAAAGACTGTCTACTGACAGGTTAAGCTAGCTGCTGGGCTACTTCCATCTCAACATCCTCCGTGACACACAGTCTGCAGAGGACCACCACTGTTGTACTAAAAGACAGTGGCTTGAAAAACGTCCTAGCTAAATGTTGGGAGATTGTTGGCACTTCAAGTGCAAGTTCAAAGTGCACAAGAACAGCAGGAAGAGTCGCTTGTTCAGCATGTTCCACCCGGGGGAGTAAAATGTGTCTCGTTTGGTGTAAAAGAAAAAAAGAATACAATTAAACAGTGTCTAAAATGTACACTTTCTGAAGTGATTACTCATTACTTACTACATTAATAGATTTAGTCTTTAGAGGAAAAACTAACTTTTAATCGCGATTAATACATTTCAAAATGTGCAATAAATTCGTTTTAATTAGGGTTTTTTTAATCTATTGATACCCTTAGTTAATAATCATTGCACAGTTATTGCATATTCAACTTCCTTATAAAACTTGTAGTAGTACCATTTGTTAGTCACTGACAAGGCGGTTAACACAACTAATAGTATGGCTTTGTCCATTTGTGTTAATATTGTTTGATTAAAAAATGTTTTTTGGGGGGATAATGTAACCAGACATCTGTTGCGTTGAGCCTCACACACCAATAAATAAAACCAGAGCATTTAGTAACTACAGTTACGAACATTTATATAGACACACAAAGACGTCAGTATCATCCTCAGTAAATTATACTGTATTACACTCACTCATCCGGGGTGTGTCCTTATCCTGTAGTCTGATTGCCCAGCAGCCATCCTCCAAAGATTTACTACATGCTGTTACAATTAAGAATCAGTGTCACGGGGCCAAGTGTTTCTGAACCTGTAAGCACCCTAACTGTAATTATATTTGGTGCAGTTGAGACTATTTTCTCTCCTTGACATCTTCATTTGAGTGGAAAGTGAATATTCTAGTTAACACGGGCCTCCGAGGCAACGCGCTGGCATCGCAATACATCTTTTAAGTGTGCGCCCCGGTGGAAGCCAGTCTTTCTCTTCCTCTTACAACAAGAGGTCTCGAAAGACTCATTAGTCACAATCACCTCCACGTTGAGGAAGGAGGAAAGTCAAGGCAGTACAGGGAGAGGCGAAGAGAAGCTGACTGACTCTGAAGATCGAAACCATGATACTATTGCGTAACTATGTAGCCACAAACAGATGTGGTGTTAAGCGGGACCTTTTGATTAAGGTTGAGGTATAGCTCCCTATGAGCTGCTCAGTTATAGGTGTTAGCACATACGGTTTGGGTGTCAAAATAAAGGAAAAATCTGAACCTGAGTAAATACAAGATAATGAAAGCAGATGCTCCCACACAGCATTCAGGGGCTCACTGAATTTGTTTGTTAATGAATGAAATCATATGCCATGGTCTTTACCGTCGACATATCGCAACCCTAATTGGACACCAATTTCAGATCTTTGCGCAGCATGGCAAGTGCTTCAAATTAACTAGAATGAGTAAAAATACAGTACCGGTCCAAACTTTGAACAGGTACTGTATTTTCTAGTATGTTAAAGGGCCTAATGTGCAAAACTGCATTTATTATGACTCACACGGAGTGAGTGAAAACTGGACCAAAAACCGCTGCTAACTTCTGGATTGTGTCAATCAGTTTGCTCCAATGCAAATGACCTACGGGTATTTATCGGCTGCAGCTCCAAACAGTGATGAAAACATGACCGTGTTGTGGCCACAATAATCCCTGCTGTTTTTTGATTGTATAATAGAGAAAATCAACATATTTGGAAAATTGTTAGAATTTTTTAACATACGACATTGACGTACACAATATATAACATACTAAACCTAACAATGAAATTCTCTTCTCAATGCCACAAGGGTCTATTCGCGGTGATGATACTGTGCCAATCACTGAAGCACATTTCAAACTTACCAGAAACAAAATAAAACTCTTTTGGTTAGTCATCTGTTCCAACAACCACTAACTCTGTTTGGTAGAAATAAGCAATTCTCAGAGTAAGATGTGAAAAGACATACGTTCTCTTTAAAAGCTCACAGACTCCATTGGCATACAACAAAGCAACACAATAAACCTTGTTAAAATCACCTTTCGCTGTTTAAGAGATTACAGACTTTTTGCACACTTGCACAATATTTTTTCATACACTATATAGTTACGGACATTTTTCTATTTATTAAAAAATAGAATATTGCTAATATAAAACAAGTCTATACAACCACACCATTTACATGTGTTTTGATGAAGTCCAGTCACTCCAAACCAATATGTTCGAGTAGAGATATAGATATGATGTTAGAGCATAGAGTATGAAAGGTGCAATAGTTTTAAAGTAGGAGAAATGTCTAGGGCAACACTATGTCCTTTATCAGACATGGCTGTGTAATATCCTCATCATAATTGGTGCACAGATGTCACATATGTTGTTGACAGAAACAACAGAGCAGAAACAATTTGGCAGTGTAAAATAAATGGAGGGCTGGGATAAGAGCTGCTAGGAATGGGGGGAGGGGCTGATACAGAGGGAGAGAGTGGCATTGCGACTGGAGACAGGGTGTATCAAACTAACTAAAGGGAGATCAAGTTAAAGTGGCAGTGGGCTGGGCCTCAGTAAAGCCAAACACAAAAAGAATCTGAGGAGAGGTGTCATTTTAACAGGATATTTTTATTACTGGTTTCGTTCCATAAAAAGCATCTCTGCCTCGGCTTAATTGTGTCAAACAGACCGGAATAATGAACATCAATCTTTAGTTGGCTAATAAAGGACAGAAAGCATTCTGGCATTAACCACACTACCGTGCATGTGTGAGACAGGAATATTATTTCTGAATAACTCCCCCACACCTTTCTAAAAAGGTAGCTCATTTTAAATGAGGAATGTCCCCTGAAGAATGGTTCAGCTTATAGAAAGAGAAAAACGACTTTCTTTCTCCAGTCAAAGCTCCACGGACGATAGACATTCTGTCACATTCTTAGGAGTGTCTTTTTTTCCAACATAACTGTTAATGTGTCAATTGTTCATTAATATGAACACATGCATTTCTATTTGTAGCTTTAACAATGTAACAAAAATATGTGAATAAATAAAGAAGCTAGAGAGGGCGGATTTCATGTCCAAAAGATGCCTTTTATTGTCTTATGGCCACAGTTTTAGAAATACTTCCTGATATGTTGGATGTTACAAGGAGTTTTTTTGGCAAAACTTCTGAAAAGAACGTCAACGTTCATTTATTTCTTACATAGTGTGTCACACAGTAAACAGTAACGTTCATGTCCTACGTTGCTTAAATAATACGCAGTTTAAGGAGCTACATCAGTATATGTAACTTCCTCAGCGCATTTGGAAATCATTTCTAGAAACTATTCTCTCACACTTTTTGGTACTTTGTGCCAACACCTACAGTGTAGTTGAATCCTACTAATTGGTCCCAAATGGATACAACAAATAATGCTGTGAATCTGCCCTGCAGGCCTGAATAAATGCTGCAAAGGAGCCTGAGCTCGTCAGGTACCTGAGTTCTACTCGCTCTGTGCCGGTCCCAGCACTGAAGTCGGCAGTCTAAACATCCAAGCAAGTCAAACGTTCCGCGTCCCCTTACACCCCCCCAAACCCCGGTAAACACTGGCATTGCTGCTCGCCCACCTTGTCTAACCTGCACAGTGAGGGAGATAAGCAGCCCTCAGGACAATACAGATACTATACTTTCTGCTTTTACGCGTTCAACATAATCTCCAATCGGAACTGCGCTGAAAGGTCAAGCGTAACTGTACACCCCCCTGTAACTATACACTCCCCCCTGGCTGGAGCAGGACGGGCTGCTGTCGAGGTCGTTGGGTGTTTCTGTAAAAGCTGCAGGTAGAAACAAACCCAGGCTTGGAACAGAGATAATTCTTCCCCTCAAGCACTGCATTTCCCTCCATGTAATTGAGTTGACTGTTAACTGGAGGAGAATAGTCAACCCCCCCTTCTGCTGTGTTGTAGAAGAACGAGGGGGGAGGGGTGTTCCTACTAAGGTTATGCTTGTGTGAGTAGAGAAGCTAGCAGTAGGCTAGGCCTGCTAGCCTAAAGCTCCATACTGATGATATTATTTTTGCTTTTGTGCTTATGTAAACTGAACCCCCCCTTCACACTTGTCTTTGTGTTGCACAGGTTTTGTGTGGGAGACAAGTTTTTTCTGAAGAACAACATGATCCTGTGCCAGACAGACTACGAGGAGGGGCTGATGAAGGAGGGCTACGCTCCCCAGGTCCGCTGACCCCTTAGGCCTATGAGGAGGAGGAGGAAGAAGAGGAGCGGGGAAGAGAGACCTGAAGTAGAGCTTTCCATCACACAACAAAAAGCACTATTGCCTCCTACCCTGCTCCAGCCCACATGTAAATAACTGAGCAGGCTTCCCCAGAAAGACACACTCTGCTGTACAGAATAGCCATAGAGAAGCCACATGTGGCAGGGAGAAGATCGGGGAGCCTACGGCACACTTCTAGTGTGAAAAAAATAAATAGTTTGTTGATTTCTTTGTTTGTGACGGATGCTGCCTCTTCCCTCCTGGCCAACAGACACTGGCCTCAGAACGATTTCTAATTGACTGCTCATACTGGCCGATGGAAAGAAAAAACAATATATATATATATATTTACCCACCCAAAAGCAGTCTTTTTATCTGAAAAGGACAGACAACTTCTACTTGAATCTGACATTTACTGAGGTATTGTCAATCAATGTAATTTTGAAGTGATCTTTTTACTGGATGATATCAGATTTAAAACAAAGTGAATGTAAACAAAAGATCAGCAAAACGAACGCTGATCACACATTTGTGTGTGTGTGTGTTCTTCTTTCCCGCGGTTTGCAAGGGTGTGTGTGTGTGTGTGTGTGTGTGTGTGGAGGTCTTCTTTCTTCTTTCCCGCGGTCTGCAAGGTTTGGTCTGGTCCATATAGAACTACAGGATTTCAAAATTGATCACAAGAATCAAGTAGTAACACTTTCTTTCCAAATCACACTGCTGTATTAGCTCCAGTGTTTGTAATAAAATCTGTGTGTTTCTCTGACTGGATTAAATCGTTCACGCAGCCATTACATCTATAGATTTGACACCATTGTGTCACTAGAAGACAGTTGATCCTTTACGACTGATCACATTTCCTTCTGGCAGCAAAAGGTTAAAGTGTGTTTGGCTGTTTCTATTGTCAGTGAAAAGAGTTTTGCTGAAATAAGTCGGCAACTTTTGAGAACATAAAGGGGGACATATCAAGCTATTTTTCAGGGCCATACTTTTATGCTGTTTTCACAAAAATAAGTATCTCATTATGAATATACCTGTAGGACCTGTCTCTCTAAGCCCCCATCTCAAAATAAAATCTTGTCTGCTCTGATTGGCTTGCAAAGAAAATTGTCTGAATAGAAAACGACACGCATTACCGCCCCACGCAAATATATGTGTAGAAGCACAGAAAAGGACATTTTCAATGATATGTCCTCTGATTTTTCAAACTTCAATGTAAAAGCCGTATCCTTAGTGATTGGGCCACACAAAATCTTTAAAACAAACGAGTGTTGCATCATATTGCCTGCTCAGACGGCAAGCAACATTGGTAACTGGCTGCAGAATTTAGCAGCTAGAGAGCCACATTCTTTTCACAGCAGTTTGTGGAGGCCCCAAAATAGCTAAAACTTCTATTCTTCAGTGCTACAAAGACTCCTGTTCTCCAGGGAAAGGTTGATGATGCTCTGTGTCTGCTAGATGTGTAAATAGACCGCTCACCGGTTGCAATTAAAGGATTACATTTTTTCAGATGTTTCAGCTCTGCTGCTCTCAAGTGGTCAGAATAAAGAATTGAAGCAGCCTCAAAAGTTAAGGACTAGACCTAATGCCTGTGGACAAACATGTGGTTGTGTGTCGTGGGGTGACTTGAGTCACCATTCCATTCCTGAAATGCATTCCAGTAAGCAGTATTTGGGCAGCCCGGGTCTGGACTGGAACTCCAGGCTTCATCCTGAGAGACGGCGGTGTATTTTTTGCTGCAGACAGTCTTTCTATTTATGAAAACCTCGCTCACATTTGTCAAATGGAAATATGGGGAATTGGCAATGGCGCCGGGTTGATTTAGTGGTCGTTAGGAGTGTAGCAATTGATCGGGATGGTGGTGTTGGTTAATTTTTTGTACATTATTTATTTGATAAGCATTCATTCAAAATGTGTAATTTGTTAAGCTGATATGTGAATCCATTAGAGGATTTCTAAATCTACATTTGGCTTATGTTGAGGGTTGCTGTCTGAAGCTTTAAACGGCTTTGGGTTCAGGTATCAGCACCGTGCGGCAGGTCAGTCACCTTCAGGCCTTCTCATCTCGGCCTCGGTAGCTGCCCTGCTGCAGAGAAGTTACATCCAGTAGTACCTCAGCAGAGCTCGGCACTGTATCTAAGTTCTTTAATTTGTAAATTGTGGGTGTACATAAAAGAAATATTCATTTTTGCTTGCTATTGTACAATGATTTCTTTTTATGTGTCATCCAGCATGAGATGTTTATTTTTAGGACAACGCTTGTAAATACTGTAATTGTAATAATTTTAAGCACAAATGTAATACAGTTTTATTGTGTTACTTGTGTGTGGCGTCTTTTTTTCTATGACTGCTATACAGTTTTTTCTGTCACAGCTAATGGGACGCAGTTTGTAAAATATCGCATGTTTTAAAATCCTGCTCAGTTTCGGCAATATATTACACAATATTCATGTCACTTTTTCAAACATTTAGATAGAAATTCATGCAATAACTTTTCCAAGGATAATGCAGTAACTTATTTATATTTAACATTTAGATGAAATATTTAGATTATTTAACAACTTTGTGTTACTGCCAAACATCTTTGTAAAAGCATGAATTTACATGAATTTCTCTCTAAATGTTGTCTAAAAAGTGACATGAATATTGTCATGCTTTTTCTTTCATATGATAATGCTAAATGTACCAAAACTGAGCAGGATTTTAGAACGTGCTGCATTTTACAAACGGACTCATAACTGAAGAAAGTTTAAGCTTTCATACATTATAGCCCTTTAGAAGTCAATTTGTTTTCTCTAATGCTACATTCACGACAAACGCGACGCTAACGTTTCGTGTCGCCTCAAACACCCTAAATGCCGTGAACTCTCAGGGGACCATTTGTATTTGAATCACGTCATTCCTGCCAGACGCAACGGAGAGGGCGTGGCTTATCACCCTGAAAACAGTTAAACTTTCCACCATTGTTTTTCTTTCTCAATCAACTGTGGAAGACTTAGCGACTGTAACTGTTGTGGAAGTCCTACTCACTTAGGCCACTAACAGCTGTCCTGTTTTGGTACAAAACCGCATCTGTAGGACAGCTCAGTGAATTTCACTTCTACAGGAACTGTGTCTGGAAGACTGCAGATTCCAGCGGTATATGATGCTAACCGTTAGCTTGTTGGCTCGGATTGGGGACCGGACTTCACCGCCTTCACATCATACTTCTCTGCCGAGGGAACCTTCACATGGCAAGACACTGCGCTCAAGCATATCCGAACTTCTCTTTTAATTAATATTGACAAGCAGTATGTTGTTAAACAAAACAATTATCATACACTATAATGTACTTTATTCATTGTACTGATGTGGGATGTTATAAAAAAAGGGGCATATGGTTGTACCTTGTGCTGCGTTACTTTGTTACTTTCTTGGACCGGTCGCAATATAACGTTCGGTACGAAGATGTCTCGTACAGCTCAGGGTACCCACACACAGCTAACATTACTAGTAATTGATCCTCCATTTTTTCTGATTCGGCAACTGTCTGCTGGATGTCAGTGGCGATCTCAACGCTGATAGGCTAGTGCACCGCAGCGTCATGCTATTTTGTCGTTGGAATATTAAAACTTTTGCGTTTGCTGCGTTGAGTGTTGAAACGTGACTGCCTGAAATCAAGGCGAAACACGCAGCACTTTGCGTCACACCAGTCTCGTCGCATTTGTGCATAGACTGTGTATGTAATCCTGCATCGCGTTTGGTGTGAACATAGCATTAGAACTAAGGTTAAGTATCTATACCAAGGGCACAGCATTATATGCAATGAAAGCCGCCACAAATAGCCTGCTCTCTATCCATTACCCTAACCAGCAGAGCATGTTGCAGCCTATGATGTGTGATTGATTTAAAGTACAAACATTTCCTCAGTTTGTTGTTTCTGCTGCTTGTGGAATGCTTTTCTCAGTTCTATTCCATCCTTACGGTCCGCCAAAGGCAGTGCTTAACACTGGAATGTCTTGTCTCGCTCTTGTGCGGGTCGAGTCTTAACAAATTCACCTCTGACCATGAATAACCCACCGTCTTTAAGTTCCAGTGTCATCCTGAGATCAGTCCTAATTCATCGCAGATGAAGTTGATGATGAAGTTTAAAGCATACATATGCTGGTGACCACCAGCAATAGAAGAACTACCCTGAATGCTGGGGCACCATCTACCCGCCTGCAAAACAAAAAGAGTTGGAGGCTGTTGTCCGACTGGTGTGCAGTACGGGACAGGGACAAAGTACAGTGCATCCTCTACCCTGAAGGTATACGTGGCCGCTATTTCATGGCAGCACGCTAAAGTTCAACAAAAATACAGTAAGGAGCCACAGACTGGTGTCCCTCTTCCAATGCGGTCATGCGTGTATGACTTTATGGCCTAATGCAGCGTTTCTCCTGAAGGTGCTGACACGCTCACGTGTTAACCAGCCCATTCCGCTCTGCCTCTGGCGGTTTTTAAGGATGAAATGGAGCAAAAGTTACATATGAAACTACGGTTCTATCAATACCGGATGACTGCCCGAGTTCTTGTTCCTGTGAACTCGCATGAAGATTCCAGATTGATCTCAGGATGACACCGGAACTCTGGGATTGGTGGGTCACAGATGAATCTTTTTTATATAAGGACTCGACCTGCGGAAGTGCGAGACAGAAGAAAATCTGGTGTTAAGCACTGCCTCTGGCGGCATCCAGGATTCATAGAAATTGTGTGTCAATGATGGGAGCCAACAAAACCTGACAATGAAGAGCATTGGGTGCAGGGTTTCAATTTCGCATTCAAAAGAGAAATATTTTTCAAATTCATTCTTTGTTTAAAAACACAATGGGCCTTTATCAGGCTTTTTTCTATTTTAGTACTTGTCATGTGTCAGAAGTCAAAAAGAGAATGAACCAATGCTTTAATTATACGTTGCCATCAGCAGCTTTCAAAAAGGGGAGCAGCTTTCTCCTCCTGGGTTGTTTCAGCTAATTACCTGGATTTCAATTTAGAATCATCCGGAATGTCAAAGTAAAACATTTGGATTAAAGCTATTGCTCTAATTAGCAATGTGCTTCCAAAGGGCCCTGTGAAGTTTGTCGACACTGATGCTTCAATCACATTACAGAGCATAATATCTTGGCCAATTAAGCTAATTTAATTTCCTTTTCCAGAGACACATAAGAGCAAGAGAAGGTCTTTGATTAGGCTCAAGCTGCTGGAGGTTCTTTAGTAGATGAAAACACATGGAGGTTACAGTCTAGTCAAAAAAAAAAAAGTGTATTGTTTTTGTAGTGTCACTAATGCCAGACATGTGTCGTTATGGCTAAGCTGTTCTGGAGTTGGATGGAAACCGCTGAATCCGGTTGCTGTTTAAGTAGCATCATTACTTTGTTGCGTTACTTTGTTGCATTACCTGATTGCATTCTGTGTTGAGTAACATTCTTGAGTTACCGTGTTATCTTATTAGGTTACCTTGTTGTGTTACGTTGGTACATAATGTAAATACTGAAGATTAGCCGTGACCGGTCATCTTCCAGGGGAAACACCGAGCAGTGGGGGGTGGCTGGGAGAAGGTGGTGGGAGCGCCGGCATCCTGGTGTCATGAGCCCCAGCTGGAGCTAGCTATTGCAGGAGTTGTCGACGTGTATTTTCATTGTCGATGCATCATATATTTAAAAAATATTCAGAGCTATCAGTAATTCCCATTTTGCGTTGCAATGCACTATAGAAAGTGCCAGGGCAGTATCGTTTCCTGCATGCAACCAAGGCAAAGAGGAAGAATGTTTTTCAATCGAAATGGAGAGTGGGAGAGCTGAAAAAGTGAGACGGAGACTTCCAACGGTCTTTTCAAAGTATTGTATCAGCAAACTACACAAAACAGTAGAATAAAGCATCTGCAAAACAGGGGGCATTTCAGTGCCATGAGCTACCACTGGATGATTTGGGTGTACTGTATCTTTAACCCATGAAGAGAACTGGTACCTTCTGGAGAGATTGTCGTTGGAACGGTAAAGCACGATGGTATTTCAGTGACGGGTTAGCTAGGTAACATAGTTTAGGTAATAGAGGGTTTACATTCTTAACGTTTGATCGTGTGTTACCTGCCCTCGGTCCTGGTTTGGAATGCGTCAATGGGACGGGAAGAGTGATAGGAAGGTATTTATGGGGATACTGGAATAGGTGTGGTCCTGAAATTACGCCAATTAGCTTTAATTGGCAACTGGTAAAAGAGGAAACTAGTGAGTACCTGTCAAATTTCTGGACACACCCTCTCATTCTAGAAAAATGAAAAACCATTTAATGGGGAGAAAAAAAGGGAAGAAACCTAAGGGAGAATGGCAGAGGAGAGATCCCTCTCCGAGGTTGGACAGACTGCAACGGAGGTCATGTGCACAGAATGAACAGCGTAAAAAATGTACAAATACGTTCAATCCACCACCATTACATATAACCACCCTCCACAAAAACTTGTGGAGAGGGAAGAACCAAAGTTCAAGACGTGCGTTAGTGTTGACAGTATGGGACTAATAATAGTGTTAGAAGCGGTAGGTTTCAGCAGGGCCATGGAAGGACAAGGGTCCAGATATTGTGGCAAACCAGGGGGAGGGGTCAAGCCAAGGCTGCCCAGGTGGATCAGGTTTGGGGAGATCTTAAAATAAATTACATGTAGAAAGTGTAGGATTTTAGTAATTAGAAACAAATGTTACTGTCACTTTAGCAATACTTCATCTAATGCTGTAATGCATTGTTCATACTTCTTGGTCCACTAAAACATTTCTGGAAGGAACGCAAATCATAGTATGAAAAAAGTACTGCGAGATTATGCAAAACCTACATGTACGTGTGAAGAAAATTGAATTATGTCAATCTTTGTAATGTCCAATTACTATTAAACAGTCACATCAATGGAGTCTACACACGTGGGAGAGGTTAGTATCATTTTACTTTGAGACTGTGGTCAAATATAGGACAAAGGAGTTTGCCAGCAGCGGCCCATCCAGCGCACTGCTTGGAGTTTATCAAGTCAGGAGGCGAGTGGTACCCTTCAGTTAGCGGATAGTCCAATTCCGCAGGCGAATAGCTTGCTGTGACGCCACCACTGTTGTTTGTGCTAGCTAAAATTCCAGTGGCTAACTGCTAAATGATGAGCCCTCTGCCGATGCTAGAAAAATTCTTATTTGACACTGGTGTAAAATCATCAAAACAGAATATTTAATGTTTGCAAACAGGAGATATAGTTGACACACATAGAAGTCATGCGCCGAGCCTACTAAAAGGTTTTCATCTCCGGAGCATGAAAATATATTGGAAGATAA